TGCTGCCTTGGCAGCACAGCTTCCAAGGAGGAGAAAGTCTTGGGGTCTTGTCTGTCTCTCCCTGTTCTCCCTCGGCAGGAGCGCTGGGTCAGGTCTCCTGGTGCCCTCACTGCCTCTGCTGCCCTTCTTCTTCCCCTCAAACTCTCTGTGGTTGGGGTTTTAGCTGCAGCTCAGGCACCAATGCCACAAGTCCTGCCATGCAGCTGTCTCGCTGTAGGACAGGGCTGACTCCTTGGGAGAGCAGAGGAAGAGGCCCTGCTCCTCACAGCAGACTCAGAAAGCACAAACTGCAGCTCCAGGCAGGAAGATGAGCACAGGTCCTGCCAAACAGGAGGGAGGCAATTTGCGTTTTGGTGTGGGGTGGGCCAGGTAGGGAATGCAAAGGTGTGGTGGTTGATGATGGGAAGAGATTTTCTCAGAGAAAACTTCCTGAACTTGTCAGTGTGCTCTCCTCCTTCCACAGTCACCCATGCCCAGAGGCAGCAGATGTCCAACAGCAGCTCCATCACCCAGTTCCTTCTCCTGGAGTTCACAGACACACGGGAGGTGCAGGTCTTGCACTTCTGGCTCTTCCTGGGCATCTACTTGGCTGCCCTCATGGGAAACGGCCTCATCATCACTGCCATAGCTTGCAACCAACGCCTCCACACCCCCATGTACTTCTTCCTCCTCAACCTCTCCCTTGTTGACTTGGGCTCCATCTCTACCACTGTTCCCAAATCCATGGCCAATTCCCTGTGGGACACCAGGACCATCTCCTACACAGGATGTGCTGCCCAGCTCTTTCTGTTTACATTCTTGACAGTAGCAGAGTATTGTCTTCTCTCCGTCATGGCCTATGACCGCTATGTTGCCATCTGCAAACCCCTGCACTACGGGATCCTCCTGGGAGGCAGAGGATGTGTCCACATGGCAGCAGCTGCCTGGGGCAGTGCTTTTCTCAATTCTTTCCTGCATACTGTCAATACATTTTCCATACCCCTCTGCAAGGGCAATGCCCTGGACCAATTCTTCTGTGAAATCCCCCAGATCCTCAAGCTCTCCTGTGCAGAAGCCTACCTCAGGGAAGTTGGGCTTCTTGTGGTTAGTTTTTCTTTAGCTTTTGTTTGTTTTGTTTTCATTGTGCTGTCCTATGTGCAGATCTTCAGGGCTGTGATGAGGATCCCCTCTCAGCAGGGGCGGTGCAAAGCCTTTTCCATGTGCCTCCCTCACCTGGCCGTGGTCTCCCCGTATATCAGCACTGGCATGTTTGCCTACCTGAAGCCCCCTTCTGTCTCCTCCCCATCCCTGGATCTGGTGGTTAGTGTGTTGTATTCAGTGGTGCCTCCGACAGTGAACCCCTTCATCTACAGCATGAGGAACCAGGAGCTCAAAGATGCACTCAAGAAGCTGATTTCATGGGTAGTATTTCAGCAGCAATAATCCACCCATGTCTTCTCACAAGTTATGTCCATTGTATCTGGGGAACCTCCTGTGCTTTGGGCATTTTATCTGTGATCATTCTTTCCCCAGGATGTCTGCATGCCACTCCACTTCTCCAGCAGCATGAACCATGGTCTGTCTGACTCTGAGGTCTTTGTACATCTGTCTGGCCCAATGGCACAGCTGGCCTCTCCTGTCACATCTCTGTAATATAAGGGGGGCTCCTGCGTGACACTGTCTGGAGGTTGGGCTCTTGTTGCTTGTGTTCTCCATGCGCTACACAGAGGAGGGCATGGGGCGATGTGTTAGGGAATGGGACCGGAGTGAGATTTCTCTGGTAGACTCTGTATTCAGCCACTTCCAGCACTGGCCGCTCTCCACAGGTTTATGGGTGAGTTTTCAGCACGGTCATTTTCACTCCTGCTGCTGGGCTCAGTGCCTGCACTGGAGAAATGGCCAGCCCTGCTTGACCTCTCTCCTTGTCCAGATCCTGGTGGATCCTAGAGCAGGGATATCATCAAAACACCATGTGGGATGTGGATAGGGCTGAGTATGTTCCGGGACTGGTGGAGGCTGTCTGAAGTAGGAGGAACAGAAGGGGGACAGGGCAAATGGGGGGTCATGGAGATCATGCAAGAGAAACTGTTCCTCACACCAAATACACCCTTTGCCATGCTGTGCCTGGATATTGGGTCCATGGGACCGTGTGTGGGACAGCAGGGCCGGGCCAGCACAGGACAGGGCACTGCCAGGGCCACAAAGCATCTGCCAGGGGGTGACCACCTGCAGTTGGTGGCTGCAAGAAAAGTCAAGAGCAAAGAGGAGAGCTTCAATTGCTGTGTTAGAGCCTGAGGCTGAAGAAGGGAAAGGCAGGGCTGGTGCTGAAAGAGGGCAGTGATCCGGTATACAGGAGACACCAATGGGGCTGGGTCCTTGTTTCTGCTGGGGTAGAATTAATTTTCTTCCTGGTGACTGGCGCAGTGCTGTTCTGGGGATTTGGTATGGGAACGATGTTGTTAATAAACTGATGTTTTAGTTGTTGCTGAGCAGGGCTCAGACCCATCAAGGACTTTTCAGCTTCTCAGTCTGTACCAGCTGCAGAAGAAGCTGGGAGGGGGCACAGCCAGGACAGCTGACCCCAACTGGCCAAAGGGCTATTCCAGACCATATGACATCATGCTCGGGGGTACTTGGCCGGGGAAGAGCGATCGCTGCTTGGCATGGGTTGAGCACCGGTCAGCAGGTGCTGAGCAAATTACATTGTGCATCACTTGTTTCGTATATTCTGTACATACTATTTTTTCTCCTCTACTGTTTCATTAATCTGTCTTTATCTCAATCCATGTGTTTTATCTTTTTTTTTTCCAATTCTCTCCCCCATCCCACTGAGGGAGGCAGGGAGTGAGCATGTGGCTGTGTGGATTTCAGCTGCCTGCCAGGTTAAACCACAACACCTGATTACGACAGAACAGCTCAGAAAATGTCAAAAAGCTGAACATGAAGCAACAAATAAACCAAGGAAACCATTCAAAGGGAAGGAAATGTTTTACATCTGTGGTGGGTTGAACCTGGCTGGATGCCAGGTGTCCATCAAAACCGCTCTACACTCCCCCTCCTCAGCTGGACAAGGGGAGAAAAATACAACAAAAGACCCATGGGTCAAGATAAGGACAGGGAGGTCACTCAGCAGTTACTGTCACAGCCAAAGCAGACTCAATACAGGGAAATTAAAATAATGTCTTTCCAATCAAATGTCAGAGTAAGATACTGAGAAATAAGAACAATCTTAAAAGAACTTCCCCCCCCACTTCTCCCTTCCTTTCATTCTCAAGTTCACTCTCAATTTTCTCTACCTCCTCCCCCCGATCTGCACAGGGGTTGGGGAATGGGGGTTGTGGTCAGTTCATCAGACATTGTTTCTGCCACTCCTTCCTCCTCAGGGGGAGGTCTCCTCACATTCTTCCCCTGCTTCGTCATAGGGGCCCTCCCATGGGATGAAGTCTTCCATGAACTGCTCCAGCATGGGTCCTTTCCATGGGGTGCAGCCTTTCAGGAACAGACTGCTCCAGCGTGGGTCCCCCAGTGGGTCACAAGTCCTTCTAGGAAAGCTGCTCCAGCATGGCTTCCTCTCTCCATGGGTCCACAGGTCCTGCCAGGAACCTGCACTAGTAGTCTTCCCATGGGGTCACAGCCTCCTTCAGACATGGGCTCCTCCACAGGCTGCAGGTGGGGATCTGCTCCACAGTGGACCTCAATGTCCTGCAGGGGAACAGCCTGCTTCACCGTGGTCTCCACCACAGTCTGCAGGGGAAACTCTGCTCTGGCACCTGGAGCACCTCCTCCCATCTGTCTTCACTGACCTTGCTGTCTACAGAGCTGTTTTCTCTCACTTCTCTTCAGCTACTGTTCCGCAGCAGGGTGGTTTGGTTTTTTTTCCCTTCTTAAAAATGGTATCCCAGGGGTGCTACCACCATCACTGAGTGGCTCTGCCTTGGCCAGCAGCATCTCCACCTGGGAGCCAGCTGGCATTGGGTCTATCAGACACAGAGCAAGCTTCGTGCCTTCCGCCCCTTGTGCTGGTAACTGATGATGCTGATGCTGAACAGGATCGGCCCTGACGTTGTTCCTTGAGCAATGCCACCTCTGCTGAGAGGGACCTGGGAGTCCTGGGGGGCAATAAGCTGACCATGAGCCAGCAATGTGCCCTTGTTGCCAAGAAGGCCAATGGTATCCTGGGGTGTATTAAGAGGAGTGTGGCCAGCAGGTCGAGGGAGGTTCTCCTCCCCCTCTACTCTGCCCTGGTGAGACCCCATCTGGAGTACTGTGTCCAGTTCTGGGCTCCCCAGTTCAAGAAAGACGAGGAACTCCTAGAAAGAGTCCAGAGGAGAGCTACTAGGATGATAAAGGGACTGGAGCATCTCCCCTACGAGGAAAGGCTGAGAGAGTTGGGCTTGTTCAGCCTGAAGAAGAGAAGACTGAGAGGGGATCTCATCAACGCATACAAATATCTTAAGGGCGGAAGTCAAGAGGACGGAAGCAGTCTGTTTGCAGTGGTGTCCAGCGACAGGACTAGGGGCAATGGATGCAAACTGAAACACGAGAGGGTTCAGTTGAATATGAGGAAGAACTTCTTCACTCTGAGGGTGGCAGAGCACTGGAACAGGCTGCCCAGGGAGGTTGTGGAGTCTCCTTCTCTGGAGATATTCAAAGCCCGCCTGGATGAAGTCCTGTGTAGCATGCTCTAGGTGAGCCTGCTTTAGCAGGGGGGTTGGACTAGATGATCTCCTGAGGTCCCTTCCAACCCTTACCATTCTGTGATTCTGTGATTCTGTGACTTGAGCACCTCCTCCCCTCCTGCTGTAGTGCCCTCAGCCTCTGCAGGGCTGTTCCCCTCACATATTGTCACTCCTCTCTCTGGCTACAATTACACAGAGTTGGTTGTTTTTCCCTTTCTTAAATTTGTTATCACAGAGGTGCTAACACTGTGGCTGATTGACTCAGCCTTGGCCAGCGGTGGGTCCATCATGGAGCTGGCTGGCACTGGCTCGATCAGACATAGGGGAAGCATCTAGCAGCTTCTCACAGAAGCCACCCTGCTGCCAAAACCTTGCCATGCAAGCCCAGTAGACCCTTCCTGAAGACAGGAGTGACGTGATTTCTTCCAGCCTTCAGAGGACTGTATTGTGTGCACACCTGAACTGAGGCAAGAGGAATCTCACCACCCATCATTTGTGGCAGGCATGGGAGGGAGCCAAGTCCTTGTGACAGATGCACTTGACTCCTTGACAAAAGCAGTGGTATTTTGGTTCAGGCTCCAAAGCAGGTAAAGGCCAAAGCCGTAACTGGGCCAAGAACTTCTCCAGTTCCAATCTGTTCCCTGAGAACCCACAAAGGAAGAGTATGACATGGTGAGCATTTGAGACATCTGGGCTTGGAAACCGGAACATCCACCATGGAATTCACAATGAATAGCAGCTGGTTCCTCCAAGACTCATTTATCAAGGAACAAAGAGTCTCTGGCAGACCTTTTTTATCACATGTAATTTGGCTATAGGCCAAACACTTTATCCCATCAATACGACAGCCTCAGGGAGCCTTCTCTGACCTCTCCCTGCTAAGCAGCCTGGCCGCATGGCAGTGATCTCCCCTTGAGCTGGGACACCTCTCAAGGTTGCTCCTTGAGGCTGAGAGGCCTCTGACCAACTGCAGGCCTTTGGGAAGTGAGGGATATCGCAGACAACCTTGTATCACAGGGTACTGGGATTTGGCATTGGCAACTTTGATTTTTGCATCGGTAACTTTGATTCTGTGTTGGTAACCTTGAATCACTGTTGTGTGCTCTGTGCAGTGAGGAATGGAGTGAACCTCGCTTTCGAACTTGTTAAGTTTCAATAAAACCATGTTTGCTGCTGCCTTTGGCAGTGGTTCTTGAAGCAGCCTAAATCACCGCTCTGTGAAAAATTGGCACAGTTATCAGGATTCTAAATCAGGATCCGCAACAGCAGACCTGTCCTGCGTATGTAGAGGAGGCTGATGAGATGGAGAGACTTTGTACCAGGACCTGTAGGGTTAGGACAAGGGCTAACGGTTTTAAAATACAAGAGGGTGGATTTAGATTGGACATTAGAAGAAATTTTTTATGGTGAAGGTGATGAGACACTGGAACAGGTTGCCCAGAGAAGTTTTGGATGCGCCACCCCTGGAAGTGTTCAAGGTCAGCTTGGACAGGGCTCTGAGCAACCTGATCTAGTGAAACATGGCCCTGCCCGCTGCGGGGGGGTTGGACTGGATGGTCTTTAAAGGTGCCTTTCCAACCCAGACTGTTCCATGATTCAATGATTCTATGAGTCTCTGAGTCCATGAGTCTGTGATTTATTTTTACCAACTCCCATCTTCTTTGCCTCAGGCAGGTGAGCAGAGGTTCAGTGAGAGGAGAACAGTCCAGGGCTGAGAGCACGGGCAGAGGGGAGGGCCCCTGCTCTGATCTGCCTCCCAGCCCT